CTATTGTTTTTTACCTAGTTTCTGGTATCATTATCACATATTTTATCATATTCAAGTCAATTATACCAAATGTGAACAATAGAATTCGAATGTTTTGAGTCGATTGCTTTCGAATTGAGACTCAGTTCAAGGGCACTTGCTCTCAAACAGTAACTCAAAATATTAATTTTATCAATTAAAAAAACCGTTCAGCCAGCTCCAGGTGCAGTTATGCACCCCAAAACCATTGGATTTTCTGCGCCAAGCTTCAGAGTGAAAAATAAATTATTCTCCTTATGAATAAATATTTTTATGCAGCAATTTTCTTGCAGAATCATTTAATAGCCTCATTTCATTAGAGTGTACATTCACGTACATACATTAATTTTCACACACATATAGATAAATATTGAAAAATATAGATATATTAAAAAAATACATTGACATTTCGTTAATGTAGTATTAAGAATAATAAATACTAGATTTCTTATCGAAATTATGTCATCCCAAAAGTGTCTGCGCAAAAAAACTGATTGATTATTTAAGGAAAGCATTTTTTTTTTCAATTGAACACATTTTAATGTTTGATACGAAAGTCTTAAGCCGATTGCATCAAAATCTTTGGTTACAAGTACAATAAATACAAATATTTCTTAATTTTTTTTTTTCAAATTTAAATACTGCACTTTATTTGTAATTTAGTTTAATTTTTCTATTTTTCTATTTTTCTAATCCGACTGATATTAGTTGACATTAAATTAATAAACAGCTGTTTAATTGTGTACTTGCACATGTTCCGGAAATTGTGAAACATATCCATATATAATAATACGACTCTTCACAAAATTAACTGTATTAAAAATGATGGAATACTTGTGAAATTTGGTCAAAAGTTTCAAATTCGAATATTCATTCTTGGATCAACAATTATATTCTAAAATTGTATTATTTTAATAATTAGCCAATTATCGACTTTGCAAGCGTAGTACAATAAATGTATATACATATATATGTACATACATAGATATACTCGTACATAGATGTGCTCATGTGTGATTATGTGTGTACATCCGTATACGTCGAGCGAATCACCCAAAAGAATTTTCGCAATTTTTCAGTGCCCGAATCAAGTGAAAAACCAATACTTACAAAACACATTCATAGTATTATACACACACACATACACACAAATATATATATATACCCTGGATAACCCCTAACCCTCAAGCCAACGTCCAGCGTCTACCGTAGAAGGAGACCGCCAATGCTTCTGACACGCTCGATGTCCTGGACGGAGCGTTCGAATACAAAATAAATATCCAATATATGCCCATGTGAATGTGTATCCTGTTTCTGGCATATATTATAAGTGGAATAGAAAAATAAATGCGCCGTGATAAAAGTTGTGCCGAGCTCGCATCCACCTCCATCTCCCCCTCCCCCCAGCAGCGCATGTCCGCCCACAAAAGGACATAGCGACCGTAAGCCCTCGTGAGCTCTCGTCTGTCCACCGCTAAACTGCGCGCCGTGACGCGAGGACAACACGTCAGCAGCAACAGCAACGGCAACGGCAGTGGCAGTGGCAGCAACAAACAATAACAAGAACACAAACAGCAGCAGCAGCAGCAGCAGCAGCAGCAAGCAGCGCGAGCTGCGACAACGACGACGACGACGACGTCGACGTTGGTGACAAAGTCCGTGTCCACAAAGGGCCGACTTCGAGGCCGCTCATTCTACAAAACGGACGCGTCACGAAGCACGTTTGAAATATTGGAAGAAGGACATTTAGGACTAAAATGAAAGGATCGTACAATAACCCTCAACCTTGCTTGTCCACCCCACTCCCACAACCCCCTCCACACACCCCACCACGGCCCACGGCCCACACACACAAAAACACGGACACACCCATATCTAACACTCCAGGCCGCGACACCCCACCCACCCCGAACCCAACCCACACCTTCCCATCATCTCCCAACCCTGCCAACTTACATATCCCATTTGCTTCTACACACGTACACATATACATATATATATATATATATACATACATATATATATATATATATACTTATATATACACACATGAGCATGTGTGTGTGTGTGTCTTTCGCGTAAATATTGGGAGTCCTTGACTACGCGACGCGCACGATGCTGATAAAATACAAATTCTTGGGCCGCGATGCTGCCCGCTAGAAGTGTATTTGCACAACTGTACCTACACGGACTGGACACTACACCCGGACCCGGACTTGGCCCCCGGCCCCAGGACCCGGACCGTGGCAGCAGCAACGACAAAGGCCTCACTGTGGCCCACGGCTCGCCAAAGGAAGCAGAAATCTGTCGCTTTGGGGGTCGCGTGAAGCAAATGTTTCGAATAGCACTGAAAGAAACATAAATTTTAAAATTAACCAAAAATTTTTATAACGTAAATATATAAGATTATTTACACTTATATTATTCTTATTTATTTAGCATTGTTCACGTTTAAATTTCTCTTTTATAAAGCTACCAACGCTTTCAATTTTTTAATCAAAATTTATTATTTATTTACCGAAAATAAAAATAAATTTAAAGTTCAAGGTAATATTTATTACAAAAATAAAATTTATTTTTATTTTATATATTTATTTAAAATTCTTTTTTTTATTATCTTTTTTAAGTTTAGATCAATAAATTTTAAAGTTATGGTATTTAATTTGTAACTTGAATTTGAAATATTTATGTTTAATTTTTAAAACTATTTTTAAAAATCTTGGTCTGGTTATTGACCAGATTAAATAAATAAATTTTAAAAAAATATATATATTTCTCTCTTTTTTAATTGAATTAATATTTTTATAGTTATATTATTTAATTTGTATTATTTAATTTGTAAATTTAATTAACAAAACAAAACAAAAAAATACGATTAGACTTACCTTTTACACAAAACTTTTTTAAAATTAATTTTTGTAGATCACATTAAATGAATAAATAGTACAAAAAGCAAGTATGTGGAAAAAAATATATATATCATAATATTGACGAATTTTAAAATTAAATATAAATTAAATCAAATCAATTAACAAAAAAAAAAACGATTTTACTTATTATTTAGGTAACTTGCGACAGTAGCTAAAGAAAAATCGTGCAGTGTATACAATATCCTTGTCCAGTTAGCGAACAAAAATCTGCGACGAAATTACGCCACATGTGTTCATGCCACGAACAAATTTTCAGCGATGCTAACGGACAGTTGGCGGACAATGGACAGCACTTTCATCTTAGGACGATTCTTTCAAGGGACAAACGCAATTTAGACGCCGCCGCCATTGGGGGATGGACGGACACGGGACACGGGCATCATCGTATATGTAAGTAAGTTCGCTCGAAAGTGTGTGCGTGGGACGACGCAGACGACGCTGTCCATGCGATGAGGGCGGTAGACGGTGGATTGTGCTGGGTGGTGGGTGGGTGGTTTGGGTATAGCGCCAAAAATGGACAGACAGGCGGACAGGCCTGCTCACACATGTGCTTATGTGATGTGCTTGAGAGTATGTGTGTGTGTGTGTCTGCGTGTGTGTGTGTGTGTGGGTCTATATATGTGATGTTGTTGTTACTGCCTCCGGCAATGTTTGTATGCCTTATTGTATGCCTTGAACCCACACACGCCCGCGCGCGGCAGCCACTTTGTCCAATTTTCAGACGGTCACTTTTTGAAACGAATTTTCCCAAACACTCAGATATGCCTTTGCGACGTTGCTGCGCGTTGCTGTTGTGATGCAAGACCATGAAATTGGCATTCTCATTTTAGAATCCACTTAAATATATTTTCTTCAACCCCCGCCAGAATGTTCAAGTATTTCATACCGTTCACAATTTTAAATCGCGTCCACATTCGACGAAGGTTTGTTTATTCGCGGTTCGCGGCTAGTTCTTCGTTAGGCCCGAGGTTATATATATATATATATATGTATCTATTTTTTTATATATATAATTTTTTTTTTCTTTCGCTGATTATAAAAATAAAATACATAAAGAAAAATGAAAGTCATTTAAAAATATAACATAAAATATGAAGCAGACCGATGCTAACAATTAGTACCAACATTTTAGCAGACATGTTTAAAATGTCTAGATATTTTTATTATTAACTAAAACATGTCTGCTAACAATTTCGCCATTAAATTAAATCGAAGCACTTCGATTTTTATTTTGGGAAAGCATTGCAAAAATATCTTCTTGAAAAAAAAACTTAAGAAACTAAATAATTTTGCAAAAAAAGCTTTATTAAAAAGAGTTTTATTCAAAAATCTACTTTATAATGTCAAGTATCAAGCAAACTGTCGTCGTTTTTTCTGCCTTTCGATAACTGCTTCGCGGTTTCTGCTTACCTGCTTCTAAGTTTCGGTTTTTGACCAAGCTCTTTTCGCTAAAACCCTCTCAATGTCCGCAACAGACCATGGAAAGCACATCGGTCTTTTTGTAAAATTTGCAATCTAGCCAAAAGGGTTGTTTCCTTTTGTATCGTCATGTGTTGCCAAAAGGAACGCTTCATTTACTGTTACCCTTGTAGACGGTCTTATAAATCTGTCGTGAAGGAGGTGTCTCTGGTCGCACATATGTTTGTATATGTATATTTGAAATCTTATTTTGTTTCAAACACCGAACAAAAACTTAGAAGACAGCAGTGTGACTCCGGTCTACAAGTCTATGTAAAATGAATTATTTCATTTTAGAACTATTTATTAAATTTCGGGGCGATTTTTTATATTTTTTTGAGTACAGTTCACTTCCAAGGCTACACTGTCTCAACAAGAGATCGATGAGTATTCTAAGTCTATTCTCATCTATGGATATTACTTGCTTAAATCATTTCCGAGTTTAGATGAGTAAGACACATTTGGCTAGTCGGAGACTTGGTTATCTTTTCTCTTACCAGTTGGATTGTCTCAATTATCAAGATGGCTGAAAATGTCTGGCTAATTAGTGATTAGGAAAAGAGTTACAGAATTTAATGAGTTACATTTTTCAATTGTAAGTTTGTGTTTATTGAAATTAAAATTAAATTTTTTCATCAGATGATTTATCTTCAGTTTTCAAGTTTAATCGTGGATCTTTTTGCAACGATGCCTTAACCCATTCATACTTTTTCTGAGATTCCTCATGGGTCAATGTCAAGCGCTGCTGGACCATACGTTTCCTGAGTTCCAGATCCTTAGCCTGTTGTACCAGGCGATTATAGTCAAAGTTGTTAAATTGAACCTCAAACTTGTTTAGGAAACGATTCAAAGACTTCGACTCGCTGGTCAACTGTTGATTTAATACGAGATGTATGAGATGAATATTTACAGTTGTGGATAAAATGTTTTCTTACATCTTCATATTGTCGTTGTAGATTATTGAGTAAGGTGACAAATCGGGTTTTCAAATCGTTCAGGCAAGCATTGTAGGCTTCAATGGATTGAGTTTGAGTTAGTACCCCCTGATTTTTGAATGGAATCAAATATGGAGCCAAAAAGTCCGCCGGCTTACTAGCAATTTCTCGCTTAGACTCTTGTTCTTCCTCATGCTGCAAAAAAATCTTTTGGATAAGTAAAAATGTAATCATTTGAATGGAGAACAAACCTGTTGCATTCGAAGTGCTCGGGCAGTTCCATTTCGAAGTGGATCGAATAAGTTGAACTTCAGCTTAGGTTCCATTTTCTCAACTTTTCGCTGATCAAAAATATTATTGATATCATCCTGCATTTTTTCAAATTGTTTTCTTATGCGGTCCTCTGACTGAAGTTGCTCCAGTAACAATTTATATAATTCCAGATTGGAACGTATGGGATCTAACGGATTGGCCTGAAGAATATATATAAGAATACATAGAAACAACATTCATGTACGATTATATAAATACCCTGTATATTTTAGTTAGCTTCTCATCGTAAACCAGTTCTTTGCCATAATCTGGCTTGGGCGGTTTTGTAAACTCGACTGTGGTTGCAGTAAGTGCTCCAAATGTGTAATGGAATTGTAGAACTATTTTGTTTTGTTGAAACAGGAAGGTGCGACTGGCAATATCATTTGCTACTATATCATCTTCATCAGCTTTGTCAAATTTTTCGACAGTTTTCTAAAAACAAAATTTGGTGAAATACACATTGATAAAGACATGCTTTATTTGACTTACTATGAGATTTCCATCAGATAGCTTAAATTGAAATTCCTTATACAAGCATCTGTCCGCGTGGTTCTCAAATCTTAATACTATCAGACCGGGACTCAAATCGATTGATTTTAATGAGTCCAATCTGTAACTTGCACAAAAATTCAATTTCCTGGGTAGCAATGGGTCCGAGAAATATTCAAAATCTAAAATAAAATGTGATCCATATTATTTGTGCATTATCATACGAGGTTATACTAACATTTCAAGCTGTCATTACGGCCTTTGGCGAAATACTCTTCGTATTTGTCATTCTCATAGGTATACCTCAGCTCCTCCATTAAGTCAAATCGGTTCTTATAATATTCGTAGCGAACTTTCGGATCGGTGCATGAATCATCATTATACAGGGTAAATTGCATTTCTTTGCCATCGCGTTGCGAATACGGCGAATAACGTTCGTGGACGACTCCCTTATATTGCACTCTTTTGCCGGACCTCGGAAATCGTTGTTCGTAGTCCGCGTAGCCAATGTGCAGCCTGCGCACCCAGTTGCAAATTGCATCCAAATGCTTCTCTTCATCCACATCGCGATCGCCGTCCGTGATATTCTCATCGGAAGACTGTTTGTAAATGCGCATCTCTGGGGGTTCTCCAGGCAGCATGTGCTCCCAATCATTTGTGTCGCGTAAGTCCCAACGTATATCCCTGACTCGCTCGTAGGTCTGCTTGTTCACGTAATAGTTGTATTCGGTCCACACACTATCGATCAAAATGTACTGCTTGCAGTTTGTCTCACAAATGAATCCCGTTGAGGGCTCTATGAATATACCAGTTGGTGGGGCCTCCACAACATCGCCATTCACATCTGTGTATGTAATTCGCGGTTTTATACTCCAAGGCGCGTTATTTATTATGACAACCCAAGCGTGCGAGCGGCGGTAGTGGTAACGATCGACAGCTTGAAGTTCTAAGTCCTTTTGGGCAATATAATTACCAATAATAGAGAGAATTGTAAAAAAATAAATTAATAAAAAACTATCGACATCTGAAAGTTATAGGTTCTCTAGGTCAGTTGAATTACTAATTAATAATGTTGTTGGTGTAGATAATTAAAAAAATATATAAATAACGATCGAAAGTTCAAAGTTCTAGGTCCTTTTGGAGAATATGCATTATGCAAAAGAATGCAATCACCAATTATAAAAACAGATGTAAGAAAAAGTTAAAAACGATCGAAAGCTTAAAGTTCTAGGATCTTGAAGAATACAATTAACCACAAATATAATTATATTGAAATAAAATACAAGTGATTTTTCAAAAAACTAAAGTTTAAATTTGACATACCGCCATATGCTTTCGTAAAAGCTCCTCTTCCAATTTGGTCCGTTCTTCGGCTCTGTGTCGGTGTACCTCAGCCATTTCTTCCTCTAGGTGACTATGCAAATCAGGTAGAGGACGCAACTTGTACACACTTTGTTCTCCATTCTCCTGTTGATCTTCAACAGCGTCTACCTCTTTTTCTAAATATGGATATGGTACATTGTTTTGGTCATTAATAACCGTCTCGTGTCGCGCAACTCCAGATACAACCATAGCGGGGTGGCCAGCTCCAATGAGCATACTCGCCAACAACGTCGCCATTTCGTATGAATTCCCGCGCCGTTTTCTCAGCAATGTTTCTGGTGATATTAAACGAGTCGGCTAAAAATGGATGTCGATGTAGATTTATTAGATACATCTCTTAAAGAATAATCAGAAAACAAACTCGTCTTGAAAATTATAAAAAGCGGCTTACAATAAAAATTTCAAAGAAAAATTTGAATATTTCCTGGTTTTTATACATGTGAATATTAAACAAATCTTATAATTAGAAAGACTTTTTGTTTGAAAATTTTAACTTAATAACAATTAAAATAAATAATAAATTAAATACGTAACTCGATCTTTAAAAACTAGTTATATAAAATATTAAGCTTATAAATCGTATATTATAAGAGCAGAACCCCTCTCTTGATCAAACTTGAAATATGTCCATCTTTTTGCTTCCGTCACTAAATAAACCTAATCGATTTATTCATTGATTGAAGAAGAAGTATCAAATATCGAACCGAAATATTTATAGAAACGTAACCATTTCTCTTACAATATAAATGCGGAATATTCAGTTCAGTTCAATGTCAATCATGAAACAGAAGAAAACATAATAATTTTTCGAGCTTCGTACTAAAAGTGAGCAGATTAACTCCGGTCTACAAAGGTATGTAACCATCGGTGTGCCTAAGATATCCGTTCTAATTTGCTTTTATTCACTTTAACATAAATTTTGTTTCGCAAAACCATCTCCAACCCTGTAAAGTATATTTATATTCCTGACCAGCATCATTAGCCGAGTCAATATGGCGATGCCCGTCTTTCTGCCTGTTTCTGGGCAAAGTAGTTTCAATAAGTAAACTATGTCAACAACAACAAGAATACTTCTGCATCACCCAGACCCGAACTAATCGTAAATAACGCGAAACGCTAGAAAAACACCTATTCAAAGAAGAAGACGTTTTCCAGGAATTGCCGTTAAAACCGTTGCGCAGCACGAGACAACGGGACACCTTTGCACAACCTTAATAAGTATGAACCTTCGCAAAAGGTTGTTCAAAATTGCTGACGCAGCAGGAAGTGAGGAGAAAAAACTCGTTTTTGCTTGTTAGACGTCAATTTGTGTACCTACCTTGCAGAGGCTATTTTTATTTTGTCACGGATTGTGCTACGCATTGAATAACGTAAAGTATTTCTGTATATACATATATTCTTGAGCAGCATCAAAAAGTCTAAATAGCCTATATCTATCTATATGCTTCTTCAAAGTATGTAAGTTTGGTGAGTAGTTATTTTCTACTTTCTTGTTGAACGGTTTGTGAATATATATTTCAGACGGATTAATATTAAATACATATTTGTTGTAAAAATATCAGTTTTTCTGATTTCCTGGCATTTTCCCGCCAAACTCACTCGCATTGGACTGACAAATTTTTTTTGACCTTAAAATATTTCTTCAAAATATTAAATATGTCTATCTGAACCCACAAATGTCTAATTATCTTGAAGCAAGAGTCTTTCAACATTGATGCTTACTTGTTCTGGAAAATCAATAACACGTCGACATACCCTTGAACTACTGTATAAATCGATATATTTCCCGTAACTTAAAAGTGAACAAATTGTCTTGGAGCATATATTTTAGATAAGCAACTACAATTATTGGCCACTATACATCGCGAAGTTCTTTAAATTCGATCTTTAGTAATCAAATTTGGACGGTTTTATTAACACTCATTTTCAAAGGTCGATCTTCGTCCCACCAAGTGGGGGCAGTCTCTACCTCTACAAGAGGGCCTTACCATCTGTTTTCAGTTGATATTACAGTATTTAGCTTACTTGTTCTAGTGAAGTCCGTTCAAGAGATTTTAGAATCAACTTGAGATTGTGTCAACTAGAATATTCTATATTTATATGAATTGATGTATTTATGTACACTCAGAAAAAAAAATCGCCTTGAATTTGTGAAATTCGGCATATTTTTGGCGCCAAGGCGCCTTATTATTCAGAAAGAATATTTATAATAAGCGTTGTTTATTTTTAATCTGTTTTCTAAAATTTGGTGCACTAAAATGTATATGTCTTATGTCAGAATTGTTTTTCGTATGTGTACAAGGAATTCTACAACTATTTTTGTCGCCCCCATTATTATTGAACATTTGAATTTTTGATTTCACATCTACAAGCATTTGAGATAGTTTAGGAATTTATATCATAACTGAGCCACTAAATTGCATTGCTTACTTCTTGTTTTGAATTGATTTCGCATAAAAAGAAGTGCTTATATTTCTCCTTTTTAAAAATGCATTTCCTTATTCAATATTTTTGGAAATTTCGATTTAAGAAGATCCTTTCTAATTTTTGAAAATTATTTTTTCTTATTGTTAGAAATGATGTCAAAAACAAGATAAATATTCAAATAATATTCTAAAGCAATTTTTTCTGAGTGTATGTATAGAACAAATATGTGTAGGGTGTATATCCACACATAGATGCACATGTATTCCAGAAATGGGCAAAGACAAACACACACACACACACACTTATTCGGATGTCCTGCGGTTCGTGATTTATTGGAATCGGAACAGGCGTCAGTTTGTTGTTTTCTCAAGCTGCGACAAAGTGGAAAATCGCACCCATCCTTAATCCGCCCTATGTTTTCTTATCTCCGAGCTGGCCGTTTACCTGCGCAGCTGCAACTAGCTCGTGGGTGTTTGCGCATGCTTCAGTCAGTCACCGTGTTCTATTCATCACTCTTCTCTTATGAATTGACCTACGGAACTATTCTGCAATTTGCAAGAAAAGTACGTACGTATATATTTATGTACATATATGCATGTATATACTGTATACAAGTATATTTCGAGAGTGACCTTAACTGCAGTTAATGGAGCGCTTCGCTTTCCAAGCAATAACAATTGATGTGTTTTGTTGTTGTCCTTGGTCTTGGTAAGTAATACACTTTATTAATAGATCAATCATGTAATCAATTTAGACAGTCTTCTATTTCTATCATTGACACCCCGACTTTAAAGCTATTTTTTCGGCAATAACATTTTTGCATGCATTTGTAGCTTGCGGTTAATTAATTCATAAACATTTTTTTTGTTATTTTTGGCCTTATTGTGTATTTCACCAAATTTGCAACTAGCCAACAGAAATTTTATATTATATATCTTAATAAAATGAATATATATTTAATTATATTTTATATTATTTTAATTTAAATTTAAAAAGAATAAATATTAACTTCAGTTTTAATGAACTAATTCGTTTTTCATTTTTTTTTTTTTTTTGTGTTGACTGATAATAGTCGAAATTAAATTAATAAATAAGTAAAGCGGACGCGTTTTTTCTATAATCAATTTAGATGGCCAATTTGTGACCTTGAGCCACATGAACATGCCTAGTTAAATGAGAATTTGTAGAAATCCCTTCGCCCTTTTGTGTACATAAAATGACTTTAGGTGTCGTAAAATGGACCTCGTAAAACTTAACAGCAGAGTTAGAGCCAGATTTACAGCCAGAATATATTTCAACAAAATTGTCACAAAATTCAATTCCTATGAAATAGTGAGTCATACTGGATAAAACATTTCGCAATTTCTAAGAGTTTTACATTCAATAAATCGAATGATTAAATTGTGTCACGATTATTCTGCAATAGATCTTAAACCACAAACATCAGATACAAATATATATATACAAAAGAAATTGAAGCAATTTTTGATTGTCTTTTAGGAACCCTGATCCCATTAAATATGTGTAATGAAGTTGTGCTACGGTTTTCAACAGTAGAAGCAAGCATCTTTGACCCCTTAGAGAATAAGTATATATATGTTATATATATATATGATCAGGACCAACAGCAGAGCTCAAGTTTCAAGTTAATTTGTCTTAAGATTAGAAGCAATAGAGATATTTTATCTTGTTAAAAAAGTGACCATTACTTTTATTTTATCTAATTTGTTTTTGTGTGAGCTGTACTACAGAATAATAAAACTTTCAATAAGTAATTAAACTTCATACAATTACCGCTTGAGTCAGCTTAACATAGATATTTGTCCGGTTATAATTTTTAAGACTAGTGAGTATCTGGAAATATTTATCTGTAGGGCTGAGCTCATCTGTCTATGAATCGATTGATTTCTAACGACGAATCGTTTGCATCGGCAATACTTCACGTGGTTTCGCTTCGCTATCCACGTTTTATAACATTTCCTTTAGACCTTATAGGTGCGCCCCGTCGTTTCGGAAAGTTTATTGAAATGCAAAATCCCCGTGAAGCCATAAGAATCACAATGAGGCGTTTCATGCCAGTACAAAGTCATCACCGAGCAGCGTGCAACAAGAGAGGGAGAGTGAGAATGAGAGACGTCGCGGCATTCGAGGTCAAAACCATGCTCTGCCATTCTCCAGCTAGTTCGCCGGCAGCGTATAATTGAATCCTCAGCAGTGGGGTTCACTGGGCGAGCTCTCTCCCTCTTGTGTGTGTGTGAGAGAATGGCTGGCTTCGCTGGCTGGCTTGGCTGGCTTGTTTGTTTGTGTTAACCCGTTCACGTCGCGCCGCGAAATAAGAAACGCTTCAAGGTTATCCGAACGTGTTAAATTAGGATCAGGCCTTGTATTCGCAATCGCAACAATGGTGGAAAAAGCATGACAAAAACAAAGGAACGAATGCACACACGCTGGAAACGCGTCGAAAACAGGCACCCGGTTACTTAAGCAGGGGGGCACTTCTCAAATTACACAAATAGCAACGTTCATCTGAGTTTAAGCATGCAAAATTTTACCAAATGCAAAATATTTTTGCGCGCAAAAGCGCTAAAAAAAAACCAAAAAAAAGTGAAAAAAAGGGTGGCTAAAAGGGAAGACTGTCATGACCACTTTCAGTTGCGAAGCAATTCCCGCACTTGGCTGTGCTGAAGTTTAAGATAACGCAAGCAGGCAGACAACCAGGCAGGCAGTCGTCGACCGAGCGCCTTCAAATGATGTTACAGCGCTACTTTAAACATCCACCAACACCACCACCACATAATCCCAATCCCGCACATGGCCGCCCTGCCCTGTCCTGCCCAGCCCGGCTGTAACCCGAGGCGAAAGACTCACGT